GGTCCATACCTCCATCTGAAATTTCCAAAGGGGTCTGAAAATGAAAAAAGGTTGAAAACCACTGGTCTAGTCACTAACGCCATCAATCAGTAAGTGGGAGATATGAGTTTCATACCTTTTTCAGCCTGAAGTTTAAACTCTTATCTCCCACTTTGCAGGAAAGTGGCTTAACCCCCAGGCTCTAGTCTAGGCTATGCTTATGGCACTCTTCATCTCTCCTGTTGAAGTTGGCTCAGCCAAAGTACAAGAACCATGGAGCCAGAAAGATATCAAGCAAGAGGAAGCCTAACTGTAAATTCAATGAGGCTTATATTTCTGGGTTCTGGCCTCTGGCTCTAATGTTGTTTTTACATTTTATCCCATAATTATTTCATACAAAACATATAAACAGTCCTAGGAGAAAAGACCAGAGGCCATAAGCCAGCTGGGCCCAGCCCATAGCTCAGGGGTTAGGCCGCTTTTCTGAGAAGGGAAAATGTGAATTCCAAGTTCTCAGGGTGGGAAAGGCTTAGAAGCATACTTCACATTTTCATGTATGAAGTGGCCTAATCACTAGGCTATTGGGCAAAATGCTAGCTCTTCCACCTTGGTACAATTCTGAAAGGGCACACAGTCTGAGTCAAGTTAACTCAGGTAGGTATGAATCCTAAACCCATACTGGATACAGACTTTGCCCTGGATATTGCCAGACTTTACTTCTGATGTGTGGCATGTTTTATAAGTTAATAGTATGAGTTTTACTCTGAAGCCTGCATTTACTGAGGAGAGACTGAATGCATGAGTGAGCACTCTACTAAAGGCAGGAAAAAAAATGGTGCAAAAGCCATCAGACAGACAGTAAAGCAGCAGATAAGCTGGTCTGACAGAACTCTGATGATAAGGAAGACCCATGGGTGCAGATAAAAGGATGCTACTATAAGGGGCACATAATAGAAGTGTCATCTTTGTATCAGTTACATCTGAAACTTTCCAGCACTGTCACTATTAGGCTTACACTGACAGTTATGTAATGCTGGTTTATGCTTTACATTAACATACATAAAGTTTAGTATAAAATGCCAGGCAACACTCCACAAAAGGAGATTTTTGGTTTATAGTATCATGTCATACACTACATTGAGTTTACCACATTTGAAGGAGTAAAGCTCCAAGGTGAAAGACCTACTGTACACACAAAGTTGTACTGATTAGGGATAAGCTAAATGAACTTAAGCCAGAATTTACTCTGACATAAAAGGCACACAAAGTTGAACCAAACTTCCCTAACATCAGCTCAACATCACACCTTCAGTTAAATGGGTGCATCTTTGTTGCCTACAAAAGCCCCAAATGATCGCATTTCAGTGGAAGGAAGATGACTCCTAGTGGCCCAAGCAAGGTCTTTGACAGAAGCCCCCCCGCCACCAAAAAAAAAAATTCTGCACGCGGGCAAAGAGTATATATACCGCAGGAGATATGATCTGTAGATAAAGATAGTCAGACAAAAAAAGGAACCAAACAAAATGCATTTATTCAGAAAGGTTTGAATGCACTCAATAAGTAATAATGCCTGAGTGAATTCTAGAGAAGTTTATGTCAGGAGATAAAGCAGATCCAAGGCAATGGTGAAAGAGCAGGAAACTAAACCTTGGGATTTATTGACACTGTATGGAAGGAATAAGCAGGAGGAACCCATTGAAACGTAGGATTATGTTTTATATACAATTGTCTTTTTAAGTAGAAGAGTGATATCGAGTGGTGTCAAGCATCAGAAAAGCTGAGACCTTGCCTGTCACTAATCAGGAACTGAAATAAATCCATTTTTAATCTTTGCTTCTCCTGAGAAAGTGTTAGAACCAATTTTTGGTCACTGCCCCTTGCAGATATAAGGCTCCACCCCCATAACTGTACAAGCAGACTTCATTTTCAAATTAGCCTTAAGCTTTAGCGAGGGGCATGAGAATTGCTCCAGCTCTACTTACTGAGGAGTAATCATCTGCTCAAAAGCCACTAGTGTGGGAACATATAATTCTCCATTTGTTCATTCAGGGCTATGAAAGGAGTGGAAGGGAATAAGTCAATAATATATAGCAATGAAGGCCAACCTTTTCAGCAGGTGTGCAACAAATTAGCCAGGGACCCTCCTGGAATTACATTACAAACCCCTTCCTCTGCCCAGTCTGCTTTCTGCTCTGTACCAGCCCAACCTCCTGTTCTCCCTTCTGCTTCTTGCCCTATCTGCTGATGCAAGAGCCTGTCCCCTCCTTGATCTTCTGCATGTGACACAAAGAGGTTGCCTGTGCCACTTGTGGCACTCATGCTGCAGGTTGGCCACTTCTGATTTAAAGCATGAAATATATGCATGCTGAGTGCCAATATGCTTTGGACATGTCACAGGCAAGGGGATGAGGGCTGTGATGCAGCCATCACATTCTCACAGTAGAAAGGAACACTGTCTTTTCAACTGGCAGTCTGCACCACTGCCAAGTCTCGTTTGTCCTCAAAACTCTGAGATCTACAAAATTCTAATGCTGATCATAGTGAAGTCCTACCTTCCCAGAGTTTCTACCCTAAGCATTAATCCCCTGGAAGAGATAGATGCCAGGCACAACACACCACAAGACTAGCAGCAAGGTTGTCTGGGTGCAATGTCAAAAACACTAAGGGAAAGTGTTCTATTGGACTGTTCAAAGCAATGACCACCTTGCTCTGGGTCACAGTCTCCAAACCACCGAGGGGTTCCTCCTGGAGTTGGCACTTATAGCTAAGAATTACCCACCCTACTAGTTATTACTACTTAAACACATACTGCAGGGCTGTTGGTTGTAGCCATGTTGGTCTAAGGACACAGGCAGGCAAGGTTCTTTGGGTAGATGCAATATCTTTTATTAGACTAAGTAGTTGGAAAAAGGTACTTTGCAAGCTTTCGGGCACAAACACTCCTCCTCAGGCATTGGGAAACTGCTGCTGTTCTGAGATCTCCACATTCTGGAGGAGAATCTGGAGGAGAATTCTGCTCATTCTGGCGGGTCACTGCAGGAGTTCTTTAGGGAACCCCCTGTGATCTGTGAAATGAGCAATGCAACCCTGCACTAACTGAAACACAGAACTCAAAAACAGCCTTTGCTGAGGCACAGGTGTATAACTGCATATCTAATGAGGGACTTTGGGTTGGATATTTAATCCTATTATTGCTGTACATGAGGAGGCCTATGGCATGTTCTGAACATACGTGGTCTACCCTGCTTCTTCCAAGTGTAGAACTGGTATACACTCCAGCTTCTAATGAAAATGCCTTGCCCATATATAATGATTTTTTCTTGTCCAACCTAATGTATTATATTTGAATTGCCTATTCAGTGAGCAAGCAGAGAATCATGACCGAGACACGATGCTCAAAATTTGGACTCCCTTAATCATTGAGACAGCTGTGTTTTCAGGATTAGCCAACCATTTTAACAGTCTCTGATGTAGCTAAAACAATGCCATAGAGAAGATCTAAAATTGAAAGCGACTGACACACTCCAGACTGGCAGAGACAAAGAAGGGACCATCAAACCCTAGAGAGCTAAGCCTTGCTCAGATTCACTCTAGCAGCCGGTTACAGAGGGCAAGTACAGGGCTTGCTGAAAATTTGTGGAGTTGTAATGAGCATACAGGAGATGGTGGAGGGAGGCAGGGAGGATGGGATGGCCCAAAAAACAAGGGAGTAATTAACTATTCTACAATACTCATTCCCTAGCCCAGTTCCCTGTCTTGCTATAGTACTTAGATGAGAGCAGGGGGAAGCCAACAAGACATTAGAGTCAAGGATGGCAAACAAACAAATGCACTTTCTGGCAACAAGTTGTGAGATGTTACAGTGGTCATTGTGTTTTTGTAAGCTGAACTTTAAACCAATGGTTCCCAACCTTTTTCTTACCCCGGACTGGCAATATACTAAAGTGCAGTTTAACTACCAGCTGCAAACATAACTACTGCAGAACTGCTGCCAGCTGAGCAGCAGAGCTGCCATCAGTAGCTCCCCCGTCTGCTTTGTCACTTCTTTTGCTCCCAGTCTCCTGGACAGTCAAAATGCCTGAGACTGAATTGATTCAATCTTTGCAGGTTAGTCTAAGCTGCATAGATTGTCCTGATAAGCATGTGAACATTCACTTCTGATTCTGGAAATACAGCCATGTGCCTGCAGTGGCCCAGGCCAAAAGCTGGGGAGCACTGGAACACACCACCCTGCTCTACTGGAGCAGACAGTTTAAGCCAAGGCTAGCCCACTGACCTTGCGAAGGGGTTTGCAGGGGAGGTGCAAAGCATCCTGGGATGGTAGGGGACTGTGAGCTCACTTGAATCTGGAGGGGATCTGGGGCAGTTCAATAAACAAATTTAACCTAAATCAATTAAGTCTGATACTACATCCATCCAGGTTTATCTTAAACTAATTTTGGCCATTTTGAAAGTAGTTTATGGGCACTGAACTTCTATTGTATTACAGATCTGAACCAGTTTCCAATCACTTACACTGGTTTATGCACAAATTCTGTCCCTGGCCCTGGGGTTTCTGAGAGTTGCAGTCCAAACTACAGTCAGTACAGTTATGTAGGACTGCTTCCCCTGTTGTCACATACTTCATCAGCCACCATTTTTCTTACGTCCTCTTTTTATAAATTTTGCTTATTAACAATGGATATATCTTTTTGTCAGTCTATGGAGCATGAGGTGAAATTAATGTTTATCAGCATTTACTGATAAAAATAACATCCTACGAAGCCTATATATTCTTCCCTTGCAATCCCAACAGGGCACGAGATGAATCTACACATGTAGACATGAGACTATGAAGCCACATTACAGGGAGCAATTCTATCCAGAGGCAGCAGAGGTAAAGCAGGAAATATACATTGTTCAGGAACATGTGCTACTGCTTGAACATAACATAAAACAGAAGACATCAAACACCCCTGTAACTTTTCCCCCTCCCTTAAACTGACATCCTTAGTTAAAATACTGAAAATAGTTGTACTTACAGGGAGGTCTGTAAAGGCTATACCTGTGGGGGGAAAAGATATTAGAATTAAAAAGACAAAGGATTTTCCCCACTTGCCTACAGCTTTAACATGCTATAAAAATATTACCACACAGCAATAAATCCTAGCTCTGTTTCCAGATTTAGCCACTCGTGTTTTTAATACACACTCCCCCTTCTGCCCACTGCTTGGACCGTGTGATTTGGGAAAGATTCAAGTAAACATCTATGGCGTTTCAGACATTCTCTCCCACCAGTTTCAGTGTATTAAGCTTCACCAAAGCAACCCTTCTTTCCTTTGCTTCTCCACCCTCTCAAGATAAGACACTGGTACCTATGAATCCACTAGAGCAAGCCAATGAAGACACACTTTGGCTCTGGAAACTTAAGTGCTCTAAATATTGCCAAGGTCTGGCCTGGGGTTCCTCATTACCAGATACAGTTGTGGAGCTGAGCATTAAACTCCCCAGTACTGTTTCCAGAAACTAGATCTTGCAGCAATACTGGGCTAAAGCCTGAAACAATTTCTCAGATGTGCAGTCATGGAGAGGATGGCTTCTTTCTCCACACCAATGTAATATTCGCAACTGTAACAAGGTAGATAATATTTGTGTGTTCTTTTAATTCAGTTTGATAAGTCAGAAAAGAGGCAGAAGTTAAACAGAAACAAAATGCCTTATATTTGCTAAGAAAGGATAATAAGTATATCCAGCCAGAGCTGCTGGTTTTCATCGAAAGTTACAAGTCACCAAATCAGGGGAACAGAGAACATGTAAAAGGCTGAGGCATCTGCACCATACATTCCTGTGCCTGAGGCATATTGTTAACTACTTCCAAATTCTACTGAATAGGGGTGCATCAATAAAGATTTTTTTGGCTAATATCAGTAGCCAATGATTAACCAACCATATTGGCTGATGCCAATCCGATAACCGATATTTAATAATAATGCAAGATATTTTAAACTACTGACACAAATAAACCTTTTTTGTTTGTTTGTTTTGCATTTATAACACACATGCCTCCTGCCTACTCCAGCTCTCAATGAGGAAGGTGGTGATTGCCTTATTCCTACACATACTGCCCCCTCACCCATGGCTCCTACCTGCAGCCCATGCTGCTGTACTGGGCAGGCAGGGCAGACCCTTCTGTGGACAGTGATGCTGGGCATGTTTAGAGCCCCCGAACACACCACTGCTGGGCCCCATGCAGCTGAGTTCCCACGGCCACCAGGGTGAAGCAACTTTTGCAAAGGCACCCAATACCCAGCAGAGCAGAATATCCCTCACACTGTGCCCTACCCCGGCCACCCACGTGCAGCCCAATATCTCCATGGCAGCCCTGGTGCTCAGACTCCCGCTGCATGTGCAACATTGTCATGGCAGCAGCCAGTAATGGTCCTTTTGTTGCTCAATGCAGTGCCCTGTGACCGCTCCCTGGCGCCCCCTCCTGCTGCTTGCTAGGAGCTGTAGTCTGCCACAGGCTCAGGCACCGGATTACACTCACCAGGGTGCTCCAGGCACGTGGCCATAATTATTGGCCACAACAACCAAAAAAGCCAATAGCCGATAATACAATTTCTCCTATTATCAGTGCCAATCTGACAGCAAACCAATATATTGTCCGGTGTACCTCCTACCACTGAGCAATTCAAACAAGAGTTTTTAAATGCAGCAGCAACTCACCTCTGCCACAACAGCCCCTGCTGCAGTGTTAGGACAAAAGAAAATCAACAGCACAAGGAAAGGACCACTTAAAAAAAGCTGTAGTAATGTAGACTGAGTGAAGGCACCCCCCACCCATTACAGGAAAGGGATGGGGCTGCTGCAAGACCAGCTCTGCATGCATTGAGCAGGCTGCAAAAAACCTTTGTCTTGGCACAACTTAGGTAGGTCCCTACTTACAAACTGTTCGCCGCCTTTTGGAATATCTGGGATTAACAAGATACCCTGACACTTCCGTGATCAAAGCTATTAAAACTTCCAAGAGTATAACTACCTCACAAGAGTCCAAATACATACCCTCAAATTTCTCCTTTGCTCATGTCTTCCCTTAAAGCCAGAGGTGGAATGTCTAAAGCATACCTAGACATTTCAACACGTTGCAACCACTGTGACATGCAAAAATCTCCTCCACTCCTGAGAGTAGCAGCCCCAACCATCTCAGCTGCACTTCTCTGAGACTGCTTTTTGGGTCTTCAGTATTAAGTTTATGGCAACAGCTCTCAGGGACAGACCGCAATCACAGCCCTGGTAGGACTCTGGCCCCACAAGGCCCAAAGGCTATGAGTAGCTGAGTCCACAGGATGCCAATTTTTCTAGTAAGCAATGCTCTTTGATTACACCCAGTAATAAATCAAGAAAATGGTTAGTGTTGAAGAGGAGAGACTTGCTTTCCTGGAATGGCAGAGAAACCCAACTACTGGTATAAAGAAAAAGTGAATCAGCATGCCTCAGTGATTGGGCCATGTCAGAACTAGATACACTTGTTTAGGAAAAAGTCACAAGTTTTCCCATTTCCCTGCTGAAGAAAAGACAGGTTAGACTCAGAAACAATGGGTGCGTGGGTTTCTAGCCACTATGAACTCATCCTGATATGGTAAATACCACATGCTTTGCAAACACAGAATTGTGATACTCAAAAAGAGATCAGTTATAAAAAATGAAATCAAGACTAGGAGTGAACTAGGTTGTTGCTTCCAGATCCCAAATGTAAGCATTCTAGAGACAACAAAACACATTTTAACCTGTTAAAGAGCAAGAGAGTCTCTGTGCTATTTACTTTTAAGGTTTAACTATTTATTTGCAGAATACTTTATCCAGCCATCTCAAAAAGGATGCAGGGACTATTTGCAGAAACAGATTCACGATTCAAACAAACTAAGAGAATCTTGGACTGAAATCAGCTGAACAGCTTAGTGGGCCACAAGGTTAATTAACACCACCACACAGTATGAAGCATCTTTCTAGTAGACAGCTTCACTGCAGTCTAACAAAATTAAGGATCTATATGCAAAACACATCTGAACACATGGTGGGGGGAAAATTAAATGAAGATTCCCCCATCTGATCACTTGCCTTGTGCTGTCTGCCCACTCTGCCTTCTGTGTATGGTCTCCTACCTCTCTCCTTCCCTTCCCCCCCCAGTCTCCCCACTCACGTGCTTTCCCTTCTGTTTTCTGCAATTTTTTCCTCCACCATATTTGGTTGGTTTCCCATTTGATTTGGCCAGCTGGCTGAAAACTTGTTCACATCCTTACAACAAAATTAAATTAACCTGCTGATCTACAGCCCAGCTGGAACTCCAGGGCTCCACCAGGGCTATGTCAGTTACATCCGCAAGATACGATTTTCCTAATAGCACTTCAGCAGCCACACAAGCAGAAATTATGGCCAACAGGCTGGCAGTACTACAGCTTTCGAGGTAGCTAGATCTCTGCTCATGTTCTGCTTCAAAACATGCTGTAGAGCAGGTCTCTCAACAGGAAATGGAATTACACCCCCAGTCTACAACAAGGGAGTACTGAAAGCGAGTATAACACAGCACTTGCACAGAATCCCAATTTTGGCAATCTCGGCAGAGATTGCTAAACCACGAACAGGACACAGAATGAGCTATTCCCCACCATACACAGAGTGACTGTATTCTGGAAGAATGATGCAAATAGGCAGCCTCTGCACACAACCATTTTTCAATTGCACTGACAGTGTGCTTGAAATACAATATTGGGTCCTCCTAGGTGATGTCCTCAGCTGAGAAAGGCAGCATTTCCAGCATGGATTAATAAAATGTTCAGCTGTGGGATGGCTGGCTGCAGGGCCAAATGAAGAGTCAAATCAATGGATGCTTCAAGGGACAGGACCACTTAGCCAGCAATCAAAATGATGACTGCAACACCCCAGCATTTCATTAACCTTTCTCAGAAGGAAGCTGCTGAGCTAAAATAAGTCACCTTTCTATGCTCTAGAAAAAGGATCCTGGTAGATTCTGGAAGGATGTGATCACAGATGGATCGTGCAGCCCCCTGCAAACCAATCATGAAGTTATAAGATGGAGGTGCTCGGCTTTCCACTTCATTGTATATTTTTTTCTTGCACTAGAAAACTATTTTTAGGTAAATTATTCCCTTCTCAGGTTTACATTAAAGAGGCTATGGAATTGTATGCTGTAGGAAGACAATACCCAGTACATTAGCAACCTATTTCATTCACAAGTGTCAAACAACCCCAGATGAAGGAATAAATCTATGATTTGATTCTTACAGGGAGAGCCTGAGATTAGTTATAATTATTCTCTTAAACATAAATTTGCAAGAGATGAGAGAAGAAAGGCTAAAGATTGAAATGGGGTGGGGAGAAAAATCAGAAGACATCTTCCATCTTAGTGCAGCCACATGCTTTAAGACAACGAATGTTCATTGAAGAGGACAGAAGTAATTTTAAATGATTTAAATATTGCTTTGTCAAGACAGTGACTCATTTTATGATATAATTTTACATCATATAAAAGAGGTTCTGCTTCCTTTCCCCAGTCCTTGGTACATTTTCCATTTAGACATGTGAAAAATGCAATAGAATAAGGAAGGGTTGGAGATGTTTCAAAGCCAAAATTTTACTTTTTCTTTAAAGTTTATATATTAGGGACTTATTTTAAGTCATTTTTAGTAACTCAAAAAGACCTACTATCAAGAATCAGTAAGATCATAAATCTCTTACTGGGATGAAGAGCAATTTGGCACAAAAATATATGGCAAATAATGAAAAATTGCTGTGAAATTCACCAGTGCTTAAAAGCTGAAACTACAAACAGTGAGGTCTAGCATCAAGCCCCTCCACTGTAGTGCAAGAAACAGATTGGCATATCTGAATTCCAAGATGGGATCTCCCCTAAGTAGTGTGCCCCAGTACAACCCCTTAAGTGCCCCTAGTGCAGAGGTGGGCAAGGTCCTGCCCACAGGCTGGATTGGGCCCACGGCAGACTCTGTTTCCCAGCAGCTCCTGCCCACGTCACTGTGGCTGGTTTCC